CCCCGGCCCCTGTCAGCGCTGCCATTGACGACGACGACCTGCCGCCTCTGATCCCCCCAGAGCTGCCCGCTGCCGAGCCGCCGGTGCAGCCCATCCTGGTGGACCTCTCTCCCCGAGCAGCCGTGGCCCCCGCTGAGGCCCCTGCTCCTCCGGCTAAGCAGCCTGCCCTGAAGAATGACAAGGGTATTTGCCACCTCGGTTTGCCGTGTGCATGGAGTGTCACTGGCTGCCCACTGGATACTAACCCGGAGACGGGGCCCAGGTGCCCCTACGTCGCTTGGTGTGTCAGTCTAGACAAGTAGTCTGTGGAAGTGCCGCGGCTGAGGCAGGCCTGAACCATGCCAGACTGAGCTGAACCTGCCCGAGGAGCCGGGGAGCGGGGAGGGGAGACGCCCCGCAGCCACGGGATCGGACAGGTCAGGGCTCGGCATGGTCCAGTGCCAGCGGGTCGGTGTCACTAACGCGTGTTCTCGGGCACGGAGCACAGTGTGGCTTGTGGCGTGGGCGCTGCGACTGTTGCCTGAGCTGGCTTCACACTGAGACTCTGGGAAGAGCTGCCACATGCCTGTACCCCACTGTGTGTGTCTGGCGTCTACCATGGTTTTCCCCGTATCCGTCCGCCAGCGGAGGGAAGCTGCGGGCAGTGCTGGTGCCAAAACAGGCATGTCCCCGCACTCTGGGGAAACTCCTTTGCCTGCCCGAACTGTTGGGATCCCCTTGGCACGCACCGACAGCCTGCAGAGAGCTTTGCCGAGGGCTCCTGCGTGCTCAGCGTGGCCGTGGGCACAGAGGCCCTTTCCAGGGAAGGAAACGGGACTGAATTCAGGTAATGGCTGCATGAGAGGGCGTCGTGGTCACCCTCCGGCCTCCTCCAAGGCTGGAGATACCCGGCTCTGCTTCATTCACTCCCGCATGGTCAGACACGGTTGTGCCGTGGTTCGCAAGCTAATCGTGGCGCTGCAGCAGTGGCACAGGAGCTGGCAGCCCTCTGAGCCTCCCCGGCTCTGGCAGCTTTCAGGACCTGGCACAGAGGCCAACCTGAGCATCCAAAGACACAGTTCCCTGATGGGGCTTTCCAAGGTAATTGCAAATCGTCCCCTGTAGTGAAGTCACGGAAAGGTGCAGCAGCCCCAAAGGCTCAGTGAATTGGGTCTCGTTTCCGTGCCGTGTGTCTGAGCTTCTGCAACCCGAGCTTCACTGCTGCCTGAACAGGTTCGAGGGGAACCGAGGGAGTCCCTGTCAGCGCCGTGCTGCTGCTGACTCACTGCCCGGGGAGTGCCGCCCTGTGCTCCTCGAGCCGTGCTGCCACACTGGCCAGCGAGGTGCCTCAAACTGAGGGAGCGACTCAGGCTGGGGCTGCCTCCTGGGGAGTCAGTGTTGCGGAGCGAGCCTCCGGGCACCCACAGTGCTCTGGCACCCGGCAGGAGCGCAGCCCAGCCTGGGCCAGCTGCTGGTGCAGGTTCTCCCTGCTGCCGAAGGGGAGCTTCCACCGTGGTGAGAGTGCTCGGAAGAGGCTCTAGTGCCACCCGCTGCTGATGGCGTTGGGGGTTGCAGGGAGAGCTCCTTCCACCAGATACCACTTAACCATGCTGACTGGAAACTGTGTCAGCACTCGGAACCCCCAGCAGCAAAGGCTACACCGAAGCAGTGTGGTTCTTTAATCTTGCTGTGTCCCCTGGACCTACCTGAGCTGGAAAGAGTGATGTGTGTTTGTTTCTGTAGGGTCCGGAACAGAGTCTGACAGTGATGAATCCGTACCAGAGCTCGAAGAGCAAGACTCCACACAGGCCACAACACAGCAGGCACAGGTAGGGCAGGCAGCACGCGCCAGCGCGTCCCTGCGCCCAGCAGCAGCAGAGCAGGATCCCTGCTGGTGCTGTGCACCGCCGCCTCGGGATTGTGATGGGTCCCCCTTGTTTTCTCTCCTTGCAGCTTGCAGCAGCAGCTGAAATAGATGAAGAACCCGTTAGCAAAGCAAAACAGAGCCGGAGTGAAAAGAAAGCACGGAAGGTGAGGTGGGATGATGGATGGACCAAACCTGTATGCAGCAAACAGGCTGCCCATGGACAGCTGAGCTTTGCCTCGGGGTCTGGCACGGTATCCCCGAGTGCTGGGGTCTTCGCCCCATGAACCCTGTTCAGGGCTGCAGCTCCTCACCTCCCGCCGCTGTTCGGGAGCTGAGAGAGGTTTATGTGACTTTCTGCCCTTGTCGGGCCCCCGGGCAGGGGGATGCCCCCTTCACAGGCAAAATCCTTGTGTCTGGAGGGGCTTGAGGTCATGCTATGGATCTCACCAGTCCTGGGACTAGAGAGTTCCCTCCCAGGCTCCCAGTGCAGTGTCAGGCGAAAAGCCCGGGAATGCTTCTCTGCAGCAGTACAATGCACGTTTTCATTTGCGTGAGCGCACTGATCACTGGACCCAGGTCTCTGGAGGGCAGATGAGCGGACGCATCTTTTCATGGGCTGCACTGTCTCAGTAACTCTTCTTTCCCTCGCTTACCTTTCTCTCATGTTTTTCAGGCAATGTCTAAACTGGGCCTTCGCCAGGTGACAGGAGTAACCAGAGTCACCATCCGGAAATCTAAGAACATCCTCTTCGTCATCACAAAGCCAGACGTGTACAAGAGCCCAGCGTCAGACACCTACATAGTCTTTGGCGAAGCGAAGGTGAGCTGACTGCATAGTGTCTGGCAGCCGCGTTAATCCGTGCTTGCGGCAGCGGAGCAGCAGGCCACAGGTCCCAGCTGCTGTGTGCCCCCCCAAGGGATGTCGGCAGGCCTGGGGTCCGTGTCGAGAGCTGGCTTCTTGGCTGGGTTGTGCGGCAGAGCCGTTCGATGTGCTGGCACTGCTGCAGCACGGGGAGCACAGCTGCGGCTCTCTGAGCCTGTGTGCTGACATTCCACTCTGTGCCGGGCTGGCCTCATTTACGCTTCTTCCCTCCAGATCGAAGACCTGTCCCAGCAGGCCCAGCTGGCAGCTGCCGAAAAGTTCAAAGTGCAAGGAGAAGCTGTTTCAAACATCCAGGAAAACACACAGACCCCCACCGTGCAGGAGGAGAGCGAGGAAGAAGAGGTACGCCTTCCCCAGCCTGTCTCTGTGGGGCTGGGCGCTTCACTGCGGACCTGAGCCAGCCGCTGGGCTGCAGGCCCACTGGATTAATGCTCGTCCTGCAAAGCGTCTGGAGTTTGTGTTAAGACCCGTGTTTTTCTTTCCCTCATCCACGTCTTCGCTGTGATGGCAAAGGGAGCGCAGGGTCCTTCCCCTGGAGGATCTGGTCCCGGGCACTGCCAGGGGACTGTCCCCAGGGCTGGGCAGTGCCCGGTCTTGCCTCCCAGCTTCCGTCTGCGTGGCCTTGAATGGGAGCTGTCCCCATCCAGACAATCCCATTTTCCTCTGCCAGGCACGGAGCAAACCGTGCGTCAGGCTGGTGTGAATCCCGGGCTCTGTCTCCTTTAGGTTGACGAAACCGGCGTCGAGGTGAAAGACATTGAGCTGGTGATGTCCCAGGCGAATGTGTCTCGAGCAAAGGCAGTCCGTGCCCTGAAGAACAACAGTAACGATATTGTAAATGCTATAATGGTGAGTGTCTGCCTGGCTGGGCGGGCCTGGCCCCCAGGGAGGAGGGAGAACGGTTTGCGGTGGGACGTCCCTGGGGGGGAGATGTGCAGCGTGTAGTTCCCCACTGCTGCAAGCACGGCGTGAGCTCGGGGCCACGAGCAGAGGGACGTTCTTCCCACCTGCAGCCGTGGCACTGGACCCCTCCACGGGTCAGAGGCCGGGCTGTGGGGCTCCGTGCCGCCGGCAAGGCTGGCTCCTAACATGCCTTTCTTCTCTCTGCAGGAGTTGACGATGTAGCTGCCAGAGGGAGGAGCCTTTTTTGGTGTTTCAGAGAAGAGCAAAATGCAACTAAATTTAAAATTTGTACTATTTCTATCAATTAATAAAAGTTGTGGCTTATTGTTGGTGAACACTTTCTGCCCCGTGTTGGCTTTGCTGCTCTCCCCTCCCTGGTAGCCGAGGCCCCAGGGTGGAGCCTTCCTCCCGGGAAGATCTCAGCCCCGATACCCTGTCCCGTCCCGCCCCAGCGGAAGAACACCTGCCCGTTCCCTCATTTCCTTCCTGACCCGAAGGTCGGCTGGCCGCAAGCCCCAGAGTCAGCACCGTGACTGGGATGCTGGGCTCAGCCTAGGCAGTCTCCCTCCGTAGGTGGCGGGAGGTCCCAGATGGGAGGCGAGGAGTCCACTGTGGGGTGTCGCCTCCTTCATCTCCCCGGGGGGGTGGTCCGTTCAGTGACCGTGGGCTTCTCCCTCGCTTCCCTGCAGCCGTGGGACAGGGATGGATTGGGGCATCGCACATCTTCCAGCCTGATCCGAAGGGAGGCTGAGGCTTGGCCGGGTTCAGTCCTGCCTTTTCAACCTGCTGCTTTGCTGGGTTCGTGCGGTGCGGCAGGGCTGAGTGGCAGAAGGGGCTGCGCTTGGTCGGGCCCACGGGAAGCCTGTGCTTACCCAGAAAGCTGCTGTTTGCTCACGGACAGAGTCTCCCCCCACTCGCAGGGGAGCGAGCTGACATCTGCCCACCCGCAGCCCCGAGCCTCACGAAATGCAGAGGCTGGAGCTGGGAAAATGGGCACCTTGCTGTCGTTTAGCAGCATTTTTTCTCCCCTGTGCCATAAAAACTGGCCTCTGGAACAGCTCATTAAAGCTGATGAGCGACATGGCAGCGCAGGCAGCCAGCGAGAAGCCCGAGAGGAAATAAGCGGGCGATGCCGGCTGGGAGCCCTTCGTTACCAGGCAGCCTGCCGGTGCCAGGGCCGGCGGGCAGAGCTCCCGCCTGCCGGGGGCCGGCAGCGCGAGGGGCCGTGGGGGAGGACGGCTGCAGCCAAGCCCGAGTCGGAGGGATTGAGTGGGAGGCTTGCGCAGCGGTGTCTCGACAGTTTTAATAAAGAAACTGGAGAGCTGCTGGCCCAGGGAGCAGCAATGGGATTTCGGAGCAGCTTCCAGCTCCGAGAGGTTGAATTCAGAGGCCACGGGCAGGAGGGAGGCCTGGAGAGGCCCCGTCTGCTCGGTGCAGAGCTGAGTTTTCATCGGTACCATGCTCAATTCCCCCGTGCTCTTTCCCGACTGCCCGCATGAGCAGGACTTAACCTTTGATTTGGCCCCGGGGTTTTAGGATCCGGTTGCTCGGCTGGCGGGCGGGGGCTGGCGTTCCCAAGTGCCGCTCACTGGGAGCAGCGTCCGTGCTCCTTGCGATGAGCCGAGATGCCTTTGGCGTGAATCACTCCGCGTCTCCTGGGCGAAGCCGCCTCTTTTTTCGGTGAGGCATGTGCTCCGGGGAAGGCCTAGCACCAGCGTCCCTCTCTGCGGCGGTGCCGGGGGCTCGGGGCCGGCATGGCGACACA